GATAAAACACCTCAATTACTGGGAGAGCTTGAGGTTTCTAAACCTGTATTCCCTGGAACGCAGGAGGGAGAGATACATGATTATATACACCTGGAAAATCCTAGAGGGACTAGTACCGAACTTGCACACGAAAATCACTCACTACGAATGCAAAAGACTTGGCAGACGATGCACCATCCCCCCAATGAAAAGCAGGGGTGTCACTAGCACGTTAAGAGACCATACAATAAGTGTCAGGGGCCCGAGACTGTTCAACTGCCTCCCAGCACACATAAGGGGGATTACCAACAGACCCCTGGCAGTCTTCAAGCTGGCACTGGACAAGCACCTAAAGTCATTTCCTGATCAGCCGGGCTGTGGCTCGTACGTTGGTTTGCGTGCAGCCAGCAGCAACAGCCTGGTTGATCAGGCGCTGATCCACCAGGAGGCCTGGTCACAGACCGGGCCGCGGGGGCGTTGACCCCCGAAACTCTCTCCAGGTAAACTCCAGGTATGGCAAGCCCTAGCCGGGTACTGGCACTGCGAGGAGAAGCTGTTTGTGTACGACCTGCAGACAAAACATTACTAATCCTAATTTATCACGGTCGTAATTACTGTAATTTATGAATAACTTACTTCCGAGATAATCGACGAAAACGAGCATCCACCAAAAAAAAAAAAAAAAAATATCGAGAAAATAAGTCACTCTGACTTTTGGGTTATCCTAGGTTCTGTACACATATGCTGCTATGTATAATAATCTGTGTAACTGTATTTGTGTATACCTGAATAAACTTACCTAGTTTTATGGTGCATTACCATTAGTTTATTGTACAGTTAGCACTGTACTACCCAAGAGGGGATAAGGGGATGGTACTTTATTCCTTATCCTTGAGTTCACAGAGAATGAACGAGACCGACTACAAGGCGAAAGTCTTTGTTAGGTGTACACAAACAACAGGAAGTGGGGAAAACTGGCGCATGCAAAAAAAAAAAAAAAGGCGCAGAATGTGAAAATTGGCGCAGCTGTGTTTGTTCGGCACCCGATTATATATTCGAGACCAGATGCAAAAATTTGGCGAATTTTTTGGTAGTGAACCAATTTCTTCGTGTTCTCAAGCGTTCGTGAGCAGAGGTTCCACTGTGTGTATATATCTATATATCTAATATATATATATATATATATATATATATATATATATATATATATATATATATATATATATATATATATATATATATATATATATATATATATATATATATATATATATATGCAATAAGATCACAGTAAACAGGTGATTTCAGAATATGCAAAACAACCACTCTGAAAGAATAGAGAAATTCCAAGCGCTTTCGTGACCGACCCTAGTCGGGTCAGTCACGTCACCTAAGGGAGGAGCACGGTATCTGACCTAGTAGCACAAGCTAGTCAGGTCCAACTCACACCCACCCACACCCATTCATGTATTTATCCAACCTATTTTTAAAACTACACAACGTCTTAGCTTCTATAACTGTACTCGGGAGTTTGCTCCACTCATCCACAACTCTATTTTCAAACCAATGCTTTCCTAAATCCTTCCTGAATCTGAATTTTTCCAATTTAAAACCATTGCTGCGAGTCCTGCCTGTGTTAGATATTTTTAGTACGCTATTTACATCCCCTTTATTAATTCCTGTTTTCCATTGATACACCTCAATCATATCTACCCTAATTCTACGACTTTCGAGAGAGTGCAGATTCAGGGCCCTCAGTCTATCCTTATAGGGAAGATTTCTGATACATGGGATCAACTTTGTCATCCTCCTTTGTAAGTTTTCCAGTGCATTTATATCCATTCTGTAATACGGTGACTAAAACTGCGCAGCATTATCTAAATGAGGCCTAACTGAAGATATAGAGTTGAAGAACAACCTGAGGACTTCTATTATTTATATTTCTTGCTATGAAGCCAAGGATTCTGTTAGCTGTATTGCGAACACTTATGCACTGTTGTCTTGGTTTCAGATTACTGCTAACCAGAACTCCTAAATCCTTTTCGCAATCCGTAATATTAAGATCTACATTATTTAGTTTATATGTGGCATGGTTATTTTCCTATCCAACATTCAGATTATGATACTCCAATATAGACACTGTATTGTGCCAAAACAAAAGCATTCACATTGCTAAACTCACAAATTAATCTAAGTCTGCCCGAAATGCCTAGCCATGCTAGGTGTCCTAGTGGCCCGCTCTGTAATTAGTATTTTATAACATGTAAACCACACAATATCCAAATCCTGTAAACCCCACATTGTAACCCTTATAGAGAATAAACTTGATTTGATTTGATTTAAACTGCATCTGCCACTTCTCCGACCATTGCATCAGTCTATTCAAATCATCCTGGAGTGCTCTAATGTCCTCATTAGAATAAATTGGATGGCCTATTTTGGTGTCATCAGCAAATTGCTTATGTCGCTATTTATTCCCTCATCTATGTCGTTTATATAAATTGTGAACAACACCCGGCCCAGCACTGACCCCTATGGAACACCGCTTGTGACGTGCCCCCATTCTGATTTCTCCCGATTAATGCAAATTCTCTACTGCCTATTTGTCAACCATACGTCAACCCAGGAAAAAAATTCTCCTCCTATTCCGCGTGCCTTAAGTTTTCTCAACAGCCTCTGATATGGAACTCTATTGAAAGCCTTACTGAAGTCCATATACACAATATCATATTGGATACCATGATCTACCTCCTCAAATACCTTAGTGAATAAAATTAGTAAATTCGTGAGACAGGAACGCCCCATTGTAAAACCGTGCTGAGATTCATTAATCAATTTATGCCTTTCAAGATGTCTACGAATTGCTTCGGCAATTATTGATTCCACAAATTTACCAACTATGGAAGTAAGGCTTATTGGTCTATAGTTCGAAGCTAGAGACCTGTTACCTGTCTTGTAAATAGGTATTACATTTGACATATATATGGTCATATTGGTGTATAGTCTAGAGCCTCCTCTGTCTCGTTTTTTCAGTGTATGCACAACATTGAGCATCCTGTGGTTCACTGGTAGTGTGGAAATTATTTAATTTCCGAAGCTATAGTGCCTAATAAGTGTTTAATGTGTTGACTTGGGTCAAAATGTATTTGTATTTTGAATGGAACCAACTGGGTTCCCGCTGCGCCTGCGCAGATGTGCGGGGGTATAGGTCGAACAGGGGCACGAGGAGGCGGGAGTGTTTTGAATGTAGTGAGGAGGCTGTGAAATTGGCATTCACGGCGGCCTAAGGATTAATATGGGCCTCACTTCATAATAGGAAGTGTCGTAACTGTTCCTGGTGAAGAGTGAGGGAACGTGATTTACGGGACCACCGTAAAAAGGTGGTAAAATTAGTGAATAATGGTTTGACCGGGTGTGACTAGTGCGCGGCCATGGTGTGTGTCCAGGGGAAATACCCGTGTGTTAATCCTCACTCATCGGCCTCAGATCTTAATGGAGTGACCTCTAATGTGTATAATAATTATGAGACGTTAAATCGTCTTGTGAATGGTAATGTAATCAGAGATAATAACATTGAGTTAAGAGAATGCGGGATGTGAAATAGATCGCCCTGCTCCTAGTGAACGCGTGATTCTCGTACCGAGGATAGTGAAGCTTTATGGAATCACGACTTCTAAACCGGGACAAACCGACGGATACCTCGTCCTGCTGGAATAAGAACCGTGTCGGTGTAGCAGGACATCGAAATGAGATGGTGAATGGAGGGAATAAGGAGTATCAATCACCCACAGTTAAGTAACCCTTCTAGTTATAGCAGACTGATACTGGCCAGTTAGGTATGTTGTAATTGGATAGGTTATGGGTGATCCAGCTACATCAAGTGACCACCAGAGAATATCTGGTAAATGGTGAGATTATGTACAAGTGTTTTCCTTGATGGATATATCCATGTGTAACCTACCCCACCCCCCTTCATTCAGTTAAACTAATATAATCTATACAGTCCACAATTAATTAGTAGCATCGTACTTGTGGGTGCTATCCAATCCATACTGGTCTCGGATAGATATGGATAAGATTGTGAGGTCGAAGGAACCACTTGCCGTGACCAGGGGTGGTTAAGTTTTCTCACATGTCTACACGGGGTGACTACGGTAAACAATATGGTTGTCTCCCAATGAGATTACTTGTATGTATATAATGTTGAGGTACATACAGGTAATCACCCCTAGAAAATTTTCCATAGGTAGATTACTTTTTATAATATAATATCTATTTCTACAAGTACATATACAAGGTATACAGCCCTAACTGACATCATTGACATATTACTATATAGAAAGCCTCATGTCATGCAGAGTATTTCGGACAAATTAGGTTAATTTTGGCCTAGGATGCAACCCACACCAGTCGACTGACACCCAGGTATTCATTTTACTGATGGGTGAACATGGATGCAATCAGTCCATCAAGATTGATGGACTGATTACATCGACTCAAAGCTGAGGGACTGATTACTTCAAACTCCTCCTGTTCTTCACCATTCTCCTTTGTTTGGGCTGATGAAGCCACTGTGTGGCGAGGCATTTTCTCAATAAAGATACTCAAGTCTTGCACATGTGTCTAATTTATCCAGTGTAAGGAAACACGCCTGAAATGCCCTGGCGTGATGGTGGCTTTCTTTGTATTTAACAAATCAAAATTGTAATTACACATTGTAACCTTTGCAAAGAAATAAAAATCTTTATCTTTATCTTTAATGTTTCTATCTTTGCCGGGAATCGAACCTGGACACTCACCATGTGAAGCAAGAGCTTTGCCTACCAGGCCACATTTCATATCTTGTTAGAAATTAGTGTATTGTTTATAAATTTGACTCCACAAAAAAATGACTTTCTGACATCCCTGTGATTCATTTCCATTTCTTACTTCTGTGTGTTTATGCTTATACATTTATACATCACAAGAATATTGTACACCTTAGTATATCACAAATTATGACTGGCCTTTCATGTTTTCAGATGAGAGAGAAGACTATTGTGTTGAAGATGACAACAGTGGTGGTGATAGTGATAGCGGCTGTGCTGGTGGACCGTCCTGCTGATGCCGCCACTACTGATGCTGACACCATTAACAGAGACCTCGCCAGCAGGCCGCGTCAAGGTCGGCTGGACCTAGAGAACCTCCCCAGACACCCACTTTACCACTCCATTCATTACAACAACCGTCGGGTTCTTACCCTTGGAGGTGCTGATGAGCTTCCCAACTACGTCGACGACACCAAAGATGCTCCTGACCAAGATAAGGTTCCTGACGATCCCTACGGAGACACTGTGGCAGTGAGTCCCAAGTCCAACATTATTTTATATAATAATACTAATATAATATCTCTATTTCTACAAGTACATGTACAAGGTATACAGGCCTAGCTGATATCAGTGACATACTACTATACAGAAAGCCGCTTGTTATGCAGAGCATTTCGGGAAAATTAGGTCAGTTTTGTCCCAGGATGCGACCCACACCAGTCGACTTACACTGATGGGTGAGCAGGGACAGCTGGTGTCTTATGGAAACACGTCCCTAATATTTTCAGCCGTATCGGAGATTCGAGCTCCGGACTTCAGTGTGTGAGCCGAGTGCGCTAGCGATCGAGCTACGGGACACCATGTCACTAGCTTGGTTTAAAGCCTAACTACTGCATGCGAGTCATTAAGATTACTACCTGGAGGTGCTGTCCTGGGAGACAGTAATGGTGAAGCTGGAGGTGCTGTCCTGGGACACAGTAATGGTGAAGCTGGAGGTGCTGTCCTGGGAGACAGTAATGGTGAAGCTGGAGGTGCTGTCCTGGGAGGCAGTAATGGTGAAGCTGGAGGTACTGTCCTGGGAGACAGTAATGGTGAAGCTGGAGATTTTGTCCAGGTAGTCGGGAATTATACGCAGGAAGGAATACATATAAATGACCTCATAGGGGACAGGAGCCGTAGTGGGGAAACAAGTGTAGTCAAAGATAAGATAAAACCAATATTGCAAACTAGAAATACCACAGGAAATAGCAAACAAGAGGACTCCACTAGCAATAGTGAGGATATATTACCAAAAACTGGTGGGAGCTCCATTGTTGGTGCTAGGGAGGATATGAATAAGACAGGGAAACATGCACCAACAGGGAATACAGTCACAGAAACCCAAGGCAAACGGAAACCAAGCCTGTGCACATACTATGCACTTGGTATCTGCAGACATGGGAAATCTGGAAAAACAGACGGGACGTGCAACTATGACCACCCTAGAAAATGCCATGCCCATATGACAACAGGAAAATGCAAACTCCCTTCCTGTAAGCTTTTTCACCCTGAAATGTGTCCCTCTTCAGTACAGGAAAGACTGTGCTATAACTTAAATTGCCAGGCACACCATCCAAAGGGGACAAAAAGATACAAAACATCCAGGCCATGGGAAAACCTGGGTAGCCACAGCCACTCAAGAGGGAGAGGTTTTTTAGTGCCAGGAAGGAAAAAAAACTGGCAGGAAATGGCAGAAATCGTACACGAAATCCAGTCATTCCTGGAGTGGAGCCACAGTCGATGGCCTCCACTCCAAACCAACAGATACAGATACTAATGCCGGAAAAAAAATCCCCCCCCCAGTACCAACAATACCACCAGTCCGATGACATTCTTCTTTGCAAATATACAGGGTCTAAAGCCAGCAACAAACAACAAAATACCTTTCATCCGTGGACTGCTTGCAGAGGCAAAGGCAATGTTCGCGGCTTTCACTGAGACCCACATAAAGGATCACTTGGACAACGAAATATGGATCCCAGGTTACAACCTATACAGATGTGACAGAGTGAACAGGCAAAAGGGGAGGGGATTGGCCTGTACATTGTAGAGTCACTTGTTTGCACAGAACTGCTAAATGCCTCAAATGATGTAGTGGAAGTTTTAGCAGTAAAGGTCGAGAACCAAAACCTAGTCATTGTGGTAGTCTACAAGCCTCCGGATGCAACATCTCAGCAATTCCAGGAACAGCTGTTAAAAATTGACCACTGTCTGGAAAATCTTCCAGCTCCTGCACCCAACATCTTGCTCCTGGAGGATTTCAACTTAAGGCACCTAAAATGGAGGAATATAGCAAATAATATTGTTGCAGTAATAACACCAGGAGGCAGCTCTGATGAAAACTCACACTCACACGAGCTTTTAAATCTCTGCACAAAATTCAATTTAAACCAGCAAATAATAGAGCCTACTAGACTGGAGAATACACTAGACCTCATCTTCACTAACAATGATGATCTGATAAGAAATGTCACCATATCAAAAACAATATACTCAGATCACAACATAATTGAGGTTCAGACATGTATGCGTGCCTAGAACAGATTATCTTGGTGGCACTCGATGTATGCACAAGGCTTATTCCTCTAAGAAAAAGGAGGAGTAGATGTAAAATAGAAAGAGACAGGCGCTCCCTTTACAGGCGACGGAAAAGAATAACAGAGCGGCTAAAAGAGGTCAATATATCTGAAATGCGTAGGGAGACACTGGTCAGAGAAATAGCAAGCATCGAACTTAAGCTAAAGGAATCTTATAGGAGTCAGAAATCGCGGGAAGAACTAAAAGCCATAAATGAAATCGAAAGAAGCCCAAAGTATTTCTTCTCCTATGCCAAATCAAAGTCGAGAACAACGTCCAGTATTGGGCCCCTACTTAAACAAGATGGGTCCTACACAGATGACAGCAAGGAAATGAGTGAGCTACTCAAGTCCCAATATGACTCAGTGTTTAGCAAGCTGCTAACCAGACTGAGAGTCGAAGATCAAAATGAATTTTTTATGAGAGAGCCACAAAATTTGGTTAACACAAGCCTATCCGATGTTATCCTGACGCCAAGTGACTTCGAACAGGCGATAAATGACATGCCCATGCACTCTGCCCCAGGGCCAGACTCATGGAACTCCGAGTTCATCAAGAACTGCAAGAAGCCCCTATCACGAGCCTTTTCCATCCTATGGAGAGGGAGCATGGACACGGGGGTCGTCCCACAGTTACTAAAAACAACAGACATAGCCCCACTCCACAAAGGGGGCAGTAAAGCAACAGCAAAGAACTACAGACCGATAGCACTAACATCCCATATCATAAAAATCTTTGAAAGGGTCCTAAGAAGCAAGATCACCACCCATCTAGAAACCCATCAGTTACACAACCCAGGGCAACATGGGTTTAGAACAGGTCGCTCCTGTCTGTCTCAACTATTGGATCACTACGACAAGGTCCTAAATGCACTAGAAGACAAAAAAATGCAGATGTAATATATACAGACTTTGCAAAAGCCTTCGACAAGTGTGACCATGGCGTAATAGCGCACAAAATGCGCGCTAAAGGAATAACAGGAAAAGTCGGTCGATGGATCTATAATTTCCTCACTAACAGAACACAGAGAGTAGTCGTCAACAGAGTAAAATCCGAGGCAGCTACGGTGAAAAGCTCTGTTCCACAAGGCACAGTACTCGCTCCCATCTTGTTCCTCATCCTCATATCCGACATAGACAAGGATGTCAGCCACAGCACCGTGTCTTCCTTTGCAGATGACACCCGAATCTGCATGACAGTGTCTTCCATTGCTGACACTACAAGGCTCCAGGCGGACATCAACCGAATCTTTCAGTGGGCTGCAGAAAACAATATGAAGTTCAACGATGAGAAATTTCAATTACTCAGATATGGTAAACATGAGGAAATTAAATCTTCATCAGAGTACAAAACAAATTCTGGCCACAAAATAGAGCAAAACACCAACGTCAAAGACCTGGGAGTGATCATGTCGGAGGATCTCACCTTCAAGGACCATAACATTGTATCAATCGCATCTGCTAGAAAAATGACAGGATGGATAATGAGAACCTTCAAAACTAGGGAGGCCAAGCCCATGATGACACTCTTCAGGTCACTTATTCTATCTAGGCTGGAATATTGCTGTACACTAACAGCACCTATCAAGGCAGGTGAAATTGCTGACCTAGAAAATGTACAGAGAACCTTCACGGCGCGCATAACGGAGATAAAACACCTCAATTACTGGGAGCGCTTGAGGTTCCTAAAACTGTATTCCCTGGAACGCAGGCGGGAGAGATACATGATTATATACACCTGGAAAATCCTAGAGGGACTAGTACCGAACTTGCACACGAAAATCACTCACTACGAAAGCAAAAGACTTGGCAGACAATGCAACATCCCCCAATGAAAAGCAGGGGTGTCACTAGCACGTTAAGAGACCATACAATAAGTGTCAGGGGCCCGAGACTGTTCAACTGCCTCCCAGCACACATAAGGGGGATTACCAACAGACCCCTGGCAGTCTTCAAGCTGGCACTGGACAAGCTCCTAAAGTCGGTTCCTGACCAGCCGGGCTGTGGCTCGTACGTTGGTTTGCGTGCAGCCAGCAGCAACAGCCTGGTTGATCAGGCTCTGATCCACCAGGAGGCCTGGTCACAGACCGGGCCGCGGGGGCGTTGATCCCCGGAACTCTCTCCAGGTAAACTCCAAGTAAACACCCTTTCGCTATCTACTGTACCACTTTATGACATCTTAAGACTGCCTGTGATATTCCCAATTGACGTATAGTCCAACGTGAAGTAGCCAGAATGGATGTAGGTGGATGACTTCGCGACTAAGTTAGATGTTACCTGTTCAACAAAGTTCCCTCAAGGGACATGTCTGGATGCCAGTGAGGGACTCTTTATCTAGGGAACTAAATTTATTATCCTTTTCTTTAGGTTGAATCTGTTCGCCTCCCATTATTCAGGCGCTATATGATTCTTACAGGTTTAGCGCCTCCATTCGATTAAAATAAAAATTCAACAGAAAGTCGTCTGTCCTATTTTAGGATTATATTATTATTATTATTATTATTATTATTATTATTATATTATTATCAACATCATCATCACAAAACTGCTAGGCTTATGGTGGTCATTTAGGGGCATCAGTAATGTGATTCAAATCTTCTAACTAGACATCTCTGAGGGAGTTGTCCTCCGTCCTATTTAATTAAATAGTCTAACAATATATTTACTAAATTCTGTTCAGTACAATAATCATTAAAAAAACATTGATGCCCTAGTCACACAGCATCCTTTTCTACAAGTCTTTAGTTAGTTTAATATGTTTATTATGCACCCCATACCCATCCTGTGGGCGGTAGTCAAAAGATTACAGAGGTACATAATTGGTCCAGGGACTGGACTCCAACCTTTTCTACAAATTATGTATGATGATGCAGAGGCGTCGCTAGAGATGGTGTCACCCGGGGCGCCCCCCCCCCTTACGACGCCTCTGTGATGATGGTTGTGTTCACCACTGATGCAGCTGGCAGTGTTGTACACAGTGACGGGTCTCATATAAATATTGGAGCATGCATCAACACTTTGGCCTCTTCTCTTCAAACTGAACTGTTTGCTATACTCTTTGTACTCAATTGCGTCCATGTAGTAAATTCTCTATAATCCATAAAAACTTTTAACTCCATGAATGTCAGCTGTGGCATGTTTATGTCAGAAGCCAGACAAGTATAGTAGGATTGTAGACGGTGAAATTAGAGTATACATCTGTGAATTTCTTCCCACATTGGTATTCAGATGCATGTTACAACTAATTAACAACGGCATATCTTCTAGGAGAGGGTAGATTACAATCTTGCTTTGTCAATTAGTAGTTTGAGGACAATAATACGAAAAGAACTTCAGTTGAAGTTCGCTGACTTGAGACAGAGGGAGGTTTACACCATTCAGTCCACCTATCATCATTCTTTATGCAGGAGGAGCCACATGCCTAATGGTGCATCCAACAAAATAGGCAGACTCTTGGATGCCACTTTTCCTCCGGCTCGGTTACCACTGTCAATGGGAGGCTGAATCACCACTACCAGCAGATGTAGACGTAACTAAATGTAAACTGTGCTAGATGGACTATTGACGCACCTTTCACCTATATGTGCTGGAATGCTATAAAATTAATGAATTCAGAGAGAATTCACTCCCAAATGTTCAAGAAAAGTCGAAGTATTTTATCCACAGTGACATATTACGAACCATTCTGTACATCTAAGCATGTATTTGAGTCTATAGTTTATCCACCTCCTCCCTAAACAAACCTTACGTTGTTATTATTTAGTAAATTAATCCGGAAAACGTGTAAAAATTTCCAGTCTGGATATACAGCACAAGATATCCTTAACCATATTGTGGAAAATTGCATTTACTTGGATGTATAATTATATACATAACAGTAAATGAACAATAACTATTATTTATCAGTTAGACAAGTAGGAATTTGGGACACTTAGGTCGCAAAAAATGTCCCCCTTCGATACCTACCACTGTCATATCCACAAGTTGCTCTGGACCTATTAATTAAATGAAATATACTATATACATACACCAGGAATGCTGGTAAATATATAAATTTGTGGACTGTATATTAAAAATAATAAATGGTTATATATATACACAATTACATAACAGAAGGAAAATATATCTTAATATCACTCACCAATTTGACTGGAGATTAATGTGTATCATACTCAGAAAACCTCACTCTTACTAAATCTATGAAAATAATGCTGGCCAGAATTACACACAAATCTAGAGAGCTTATCTGAGGTTCCTGGAGCTGTCTTGTCCAGTCGTCTGATATCTCAAGTTATGTAGGAATGCACATCCAACAATTTTGCCTCCTATTTGAGAGGTGTCAATCCAATTTTAACCTCTAGAGCACGAAAAATTCTTCCCATTAAATTAACGTTGTATCCAATTCAAAACCAAGATGGCGAGTCCCGTCTATGCAAACGCAGGCTTTCCGTTTTCTATGACAAATATTATTAAATACAGTATGGCCATCTATTTACATATAAATACTGAATTTCTGGAAAATATATACAGTATTTTCCACACATATATTTAGATTCGATAATAAAAATAATGGGTTGCAAAATAAATTATATCAAAGTACTGTCTGTTTTGCTACTCCAAAGATATTATTATTATTATTATTATTATTCTGGGAGGCAATCAAAGTCGATCCAAGGAAGGGGAGGACAGTTCCAATTCCTCGAATCAAGAGCCCTCACCGGCATCACGGAACCTCTCTTAAGTATTATTATTATTATTATGGTGATTATTATTAGATTCATGGGAAGCGCTGAGACTGTAGGTATCATATAATACCTAATTAGAGGTAAGCTTTTTACTTTCATTCAGGTAGTAAGATTATAATTTCTTGGAGAAGGAACTCAAAGAATAGCATCGTCAAAATTATTATCATCATTAGTGATTATTACGTTAAGCCCTAAAGGATTGGTGGGAGCTCGTTCCTCCGTCCGGTGAACACGAAACTGATACTCACAGGATTCCCTCAATTATATATTAATACCTCCAGTGTGGCAACCCCTTATCAAAAACTGCATATTTTAAACCGGTGCAAATATACAACATAACTGAGTACACAAAGTTCTCATAGCAGAGGATAGTCTCCAACACTCCTTGCGATGGATAATCCACATGAGCTTAGAACTTTATGAAATACTAGTAAGTAAACTTGTACAGACTAGACAGAGTGACTTTTTTTTCAGGGCTACAATCTGCCCGACTCTTTTCCACCAGCACCATCTTATGCTGACCCTACACTCCTCTCTGCCGTCATGAAGCAGGCGGACCAGGCCAACTTCAGGTAAGTCGTGGAACACAGTGTGTTGTAGGTCAGTGCGTGAGTCAAAGACGGTGTAAATGGATGAGATTTTTGAGTAGGTGAGTGGATAAGTGAAATGATTGGATGTGGATGCTATGCTGAAACATGTTTGTATAAGTTGCATTGTTATTATTATATTAAAAATAAGCTCTAATCCCATATGGATTACAAATGGGTGGGTAAATAACAGATGGAAAGATGACATTGCCTGACTAAGGAGTAATAGACTGTCAGTGACCCTCAATCTCCATCTGTTAACACCAGTTACATTTGCAGGTACCCACTGGCGACGACGGTGCCTCCAGAGACGAACAACTTACTCTCTGCCACTGTCCTTCCAGAGGACAATGAGATAAGTCCATTTGCACTCTTCCCACCACAGTTCCATGGGTTGCTGGAGATTCCTCTGCACACCTACTCCAACGGCTCCACCTTCAGTCCCCACCACCGCTACCGTCCAGTTGGCCCCCTTATCTCCAAGGGCTATGCCAGCACCAAAATCCAAGGCAACGCCAACAATGTTATCGCACCGGCAAACCAGGACACACAAGTAGCCAACAATTCGAATGAAGAGAAGCCCATAGAGAGATCTCAGACCACTGCTAGTACAACTGTCTCTTCCCAAAATTCTTACCACCCAACTGACCCACCGACGACTCCCTCTTCCCCATCTATGTCACCAACGGCCCACACTACACATACTCAACCTACGATACAGAATGATCGCTATCAACCAACAACTCCACCTTACCACTCTCGGCCAACTAGCCCATCTTTCCGACCGTTTATCAATGTACCAAATTTGTCACACCCTAAACCCTATCCTACTCACGCTTCTACTGATCCCAAGCTGGCCTACATAGATTCACATGAAAAGCCTTCTCCTCCCGCAAGCATCCCACCACTCAGATACACACGTCGTCCATCTGAGGACAACAGAGCCACACGCCGGCCTACAGAAGATACTAGAATCACACATAGCCCAACCAAAAGCATTAGGACTACACCTCACATTACCACCACATTCCAGCCTACTACAACACCTTTCCACACTACGCAACCATCTACTACTCAGCCAGACAACTTATGGCACCATACATTTGGAATTACACGGAGACCATTACATGAAAAGCCTGTTCGTATCCCAACATACGGAACACGAATTCCCTCGAACCCACAATTACATTCAACACGAGCTGAGGAGGAAATTCCTCCAGTTGAAAAGCCACGCCCAAATATCAGTACTCAGTCTAAACCTTCCCTCATTGATAAACAAAAAGAAGTGCAGCCATTCCGTCCCTCTAAAGCTGACCCCTACCTCCCATCAGGACGAGAGCCGTCAAACTTTACCTCTTTAGTAAACGAAAATGACTCTGATCATTTTGCCACAGGTTCTCCACAGTCAATCCCCCCAGTGGTAAACACATTTAGCCTCCCTTCCAGAAGGCCCCACCCTCTACCTACCCTCAATACAGAGTCAACTAATACTCCTGCACCACCCTTATCTTCTCTTCCACATCCACCCAGCCGACCATTTTTGCCACCCCCACCTCCACCTCCATTTGCTAATCGGCCATCTATTCCTCCTAGACGCCCATCTTCGCCACATCAACCACCATCTGCTCCTACAGTCTTTTTACCACCCCCACCCCCACCATCTGTTCCTGCAGCTTTCTTACCACCTCCACCTTCATTTTCAGAGCAGCCATCTGGCCTTCCTCGCCATGAACGACCTGCCCAAGACCTATCAAAACTTAAGGAACCCCAGTTTACACTCAGGCCTCCAGCACTCTTCTCGGGTCTCTCCCCACGATTTAACCCTCCACCTCCCCAACCCACACTGCGGCAGTCTCGTCCTCACGAACTGGGTTTTACGGCTATGGAAAATCTCAGTAAGGTACATCCACCATTTCAGATAGTTCCTGCTACAGGTACACTTGCACCCCACCCTCAGGATGTCGCTGATCACCCTGAGCCTGGATTTAATTTACCTGCGGAAGCGGGAAACCTGCCAAAACGTCGTGTACAAGATGAAAATCTCATTCGACCACAGCCAAATGTGCTCCCTCAGTTTCGCCCCAATGCGCCTCCCCAGCAGGAAACTTTCAGTTTTCAGGGCCCTTCAGCATCTGTGTTCAACACCTCCCCGCGGCCACTACGTCCTGACAGACGTCCAGTGCTAAGCAAGCGTCCATCTTTCCTAGAAAATTTTAATTTTTTTGGACGTGAAAATGTGAATCGTCGTGGTGATGAGACAGGCTCCTTGCTAAATAATAACAGTGCTGGAGATAAGGTGTACACAAATAAAAAAACAGACACTGTTGGGGTTCAGTATCAGCTGACTCAGGGGCCCATCCCTGAACATGCACAGAAAGTAATGGTTGTTGGGCCGTTTAAGCAGCCTCCACTTGGTGCACCGATAATCAACTTACCCAACGAAGACCTTCCTCCCCCTGTCACTTTTCGGGACGCATCCTTCTTGCCTCCGCCTCCCCCCCCTTTACCAAGTCTCAGCATCTCTCCCCCACTGACGAAGATCCCGGCAGCTGAGACCAGCCACAACACGCCTATTGCCATGCCGGTTGAGGAAGTGAAAACATACCCACTAGAGGCAGTTAATCGCATTTCCCCACCCTTGCTCCCTACTCCTCAGGCTTTGGTAAACGCACCACCTACAATCTGGCCACATGCATCCGAGGACATCACCACAAAGGAAGATAAGAAACTGCCACTTGTTATATACGGGCGTCCCATGGATTCTGCGATATCTACCTTACACGAAGATAAAATCCCAACCGATGTCAGTTTATCCCTTAAGGTTCGTGAGGAAAATGTAAATAACAGTGCCTCGGCCTCTCATGTAGTTCCCGTTAGCGGTGTAATAGAAGAAGTGAGTGATGAACACAAGGAAGGAATAATTGCTGCCAAGATCAGATTTCCCCCCATGCATGGTGTTGAGAAAGTAGGTGGAGATATAAATGAACAGTTTCCATCTGGCATTATTCCTGTTCCCGTACCAATTTACCCCCATCCTGAAACCACAACGCAGTCATACTCTGACGTTTTCTGGTCCTTCTTAGGTTTTGGCACATCTAAACCCGAACCTATAGCTGCTGATCGACGCAGTGTGCTCCCAATTCAGCGAGGCACACATAAACGTAAAAGAAACAAATCTCGTTCGCCTCGGCCAAGACCAACACCACGGTCACAGCAACGCTCTGCTAAAGTTGATACCAAGCCTCCATCACTCCATAGTCCTCTGCAGTCATATGTCTCCATACCCCGTCCAGTCCCTTTCTCAGGTCCACAAATTTCACCTCGCCTACCAGTAATAACTACAAGTTCGACCACAACTGAGACTCAGTCTCCCCTAACACTTACGTTGCCCTCTAGCCCGACACCAACACACTTACATCAGCTTCCTTCCAGATCTTCAGACCCTACTGAGTTAAGACCCATATATAGGCACATATCCACTACATCACAATATTTGCTTACAACTCAACCTACAGAAATCGCAATAGCTCAGTCCACCCCAAAGACAGCTACTCCTTTGTACCTTACAGAATACAGCTCGCACTATTCCCACATTCCGAATGCACCTAAAGAGCATGAACACATAAAGGCAAATACAGTGGAGTCTTCCTCATACGGTGGGTGGAAAGCTGTCGAGGTGCCTCCCAAGCCTGCAGAGGAGTCACGTGCTTCTCTCAACCCTGCTGTGGCTTACATCAGAGAGAACACTCCTGATGTGATTATTAAAGGTCCAGCAACAGACAGAGGTGAACAGATAGCAACGGGAGTGATCAGTGACAGAATGGGAGAGGTAGATGACCAAATGGTGCAATTTTCATCAAAGCTTAGTGTGGAGACACCTGGTACAGTTCGTAGCTATTGGGTCAAACCCCCTGCTCTTGTATAACTTTGAGCAGCCCTGTGTTGGTGCTCTTGGCTTTTATTTTACATAAGACACAAAGGAATGAAAAGGTTTGTGGAAATAAGTGACTTGAATGTACAGTAGTTTGGGTACAGGTAATGCTGACTAAAATAATGCTACAAGCAAGGGAAAGACTTTTTTTTAAGATAAGATTTCGTTCGGATTTTTAACCCCGAAGGATTTGCCACCCAGGATAATCCAAGAAAGGCAGTGCATGAGATTCAGATTCAGATATTTATTTCCTTGTAAAGCTTACAGTGTGTGGTTTACATGTTTACCTGGAGAGAGTTCCTGGGGTCAACGCCCCCGCGGCCCGGTCTGTGACCAGGCCACAATCGTGCCTAGGCAGACTAATACTAATTCTTACGTTATACTGATATAGGTTATATTTGAGAAGTACATTTGAACATATTAGATACATTCCCAGTTAGGTACAGACAATTAGGTTTAAAGTAGTTACGTAGTACAAATATAATATATTGCAAATGGTAGATTTAGTAATGGGATTCGATTTGTCTTGGCATGTTACATTGTTTCTATTAAAGCCATACTGGAAGAGTATCTTAGACAAACTTAGGATTAACTTAGGATTTAATAGGACTAACTTAAGATTTAATAGGCAATAGCTATATTAGGAATTTTATGTTTACAGTCATTTGGCTGAGTGTAGGTATAAATTATGGGGGAATTACAGATAACGAGAGTAAGTCTATATTGTTTTGGATGTGTTCATGATACAAAAAAAAAGAGAACTGGGTGGTTTTCATTCGGTTAGCTGATGATGGGGTGTGTTAGGGAGACGAGATGTTTTTTAACGGTAGTTTTGTAAAATGGTGGTCAAGTCTGCGGTTCTGGAATTTTCAGGCAGGGAGTTCCAGATTTTAGGCCCTTTTATGTACATCGAGTTTTTGTATAGGTTTAGCCGGACGCGGGGAATGTCATAGATTTTTGTGTCTGGTGTGTCTTTGGGTCCTGTTGCAACTATCAAGAAATTGTTTTAGTTCAGGGTTAAAATTAGAGTTTATGGTTCTGTAAATATAGGTTGCACAATAGTAAGTGTGAATATTCTGTATGGTGAGTACGTTTAGGTCTTTGAAGAGTGGGGATGTGTGCTGTCTTGCATTGGATTATGTGATAATTCTTACTGCGGCTTTCTGTTGGGTTATTATTGGCTTTAGGTCAGTTGCTGCTGTTGATCCCCAGGCACAAATAGCATAGGTAAGGTAGGGATAGACGAGTGAATAGTATAGTGTGAGTAGGGCTGATTGTGGTACGTATTAACGTATCTTAGAGGATCCCAACTGTTTTGGATACTGTTTTTTGTTATTTGTTGGATATGGGTGTCGAATTTCAGGTTGCTGTCAAGGTGCAGGCCCAGGAATTTGCCCTCATTACAGAATGTAGGTTTTGTCAGTATTAAGTGTAAGTTTAATAGCAGTCATCCAGGTCAAGATTTTTACCAGTTCTTCGTTAACAAGTGTTAAGTGAGACAAGATTAGGGTGGCAGATGACATATGTCGTATCATCAGCAAAGAGAATAGGCTAAGGTGTTGTGAAACATTAGGTAGATCATTGATGTACACGAGGAAGAGCAGGGGACCAAGGACACTTCCCTGTCTTAATAGAGACGTATTGCTGCTTGTTAGGTAGGATTTGAAATATGTAAGTGTGTGGCCTCTTTAGCCATAATGCTCAAGTTTGTGGTGCAGGATGCTGTGGTCTACTGCATCAGTGCTTTCCTTAGGTTGATAGTCCTAATGGAAATTCATTTTTTTTTCAAGTGCAGTGTAAAGCAGGTCTAACATTTTTACAATTGCGTTGTTTGTGCTCTTCCTTTTTCTGAAGCCAAATTGGCAGGGGTTGAGGATGCTTTGAGCTGTTATAAAGGAGTATAATCTCTTGTGCATAAGTTTTTCGAAGGTTTTGCATAGAGTGGTAAGTTCGAAATTGGCCTGTAGTTGTTTACATCTGTGGGGTCATCTGAGGACTGTCTTATTACCATTGGGGTCCTTGATCTCTCCCAGGATGCGACCCACACCATTCGACTGACACCCAGGTACCTACTTGCTGCTAGGCGAACAGGACAATAGGTGTAAGGAAACGCGTTGAAATGTTTCTACCCCGCTGTGAATCAAACCCGGGCCCTCCATGTGTGAAGAGAGAGCTTTGCCAGCCAGGCCACATTATTATTATAATCAAGGGGGAAGCGCTAAACCCGGGGGATTATACAGCGCCTGGGGGGGATGTGGAAGGCATTCAGGCTTAATTCGGGGAACTGGAGCACAGATCCAATTCCCTAAATCAAGAGCCCCTCACCAACATCACAGCCAGGCCACAGGGTCTGTGGACGCTTGAATGAAATTCATTTTTAATGAGGAATTAGAGCAAACCAGTGATCTACAACTTAACCTTTTGACTTGAGTTTTGCCAATCCTGGTTTAAAAATTGTGTGTCAGTGTTAAGCTGGCAAAAACCATTTTCAAATTTACTAAGAATAATAAAAGTATTTGTGCACTAAGTATTATGTATTTTGAGCGGGTAATATTTACTTTCAGCAATTTGTTTCAAAAAACTAATTGCAGTATGAAAGTGGCCCCGTGGCCTGGCTGGCAAAGCTCTCACTTCACATGCGGAGGACCTGGGTTCGATTCCCGGCAGGGTGAAAACATTTCAACACGTTTCCTTACACCTGTTGACCTGTTCACCTAACGGCAAATAGGTACCTGGGTGTAAGTCAACTGGTGTGGGTCGCATCCTGGGGGACAAGATTGAGGAGCCCAATGGAAATAAGACAGTCCTCGATGACGCACCGCCTTTCTTGGGTTATCCTGGGTGGCTAACCCTCCAGGGTTAAAAATCCAAACGAAATATTATCTCATATCTTATCTAAAGTACATTAAAGTTTTCTGAACACTCAACTGTTGTAGAACACTGTACAGTGGTACCTTGACTTACGAGTTTAGTTTGTTCTGTGACAGCTTGTAACTCAGTTTGCTCATACTGTATATCAAATCAATTTTCCTCATTGAAATTAATTGAAATGCTGTTAGTCTGTTCCAGCCCCCCAAAAAAACCACCCCAAGGGCAGGAGAAAATACTTCATTATAATGCTAATATTAACTCTACTGCTTACTTATCTATCACAGTTGATCTAATAAGACATAATAAACACTATAAGTAACATATACTCTAGAATGAATAAATTAGGCCATAATATGGCGAGTGCCCGGGACCAGTCCGAGTATATAAAACCATTACTGCTCCTTCCTATAACGTTCTTTGGTCCTGGGTAAGAGAAAACGGAGTTTTTGAGAGGCTAACTGCACTAGATCACTAGTGCAGTGATATATGAATATCTCGATAGTTATTGACTTATTTCATGAAACCCACCATTTATTACTGAAGTAAATGCAATAATATTGACAGGAATCATAAAAATATGATTGTTCTACAACTGGCTTGTGAAATATTGGAAATATTCCAAATATTTTGGGATTTGTGTGGGTGTAAAGGGCAAGATATTTTGCAAATGTCAAAAGCTTAACTTTATTTTTTTGTAGAATAACTAAAGACAATTACACGATTACCTCCAGTGAGAACATCACACTAGCATAGTTTTATAAGTACCAAGTCCCAAAACCACCTTTTGTTGTGCTATTTAGGCTGGGGTTCTTGCCAAATGTCATTTTCAGTAAATATTTTTCTTTTTCGCTTGTATCTTGGACTTTGGCTTGCAACTCAAAGCAAAAAATCAACTGAGTGATGCTTGTAACTCTGAAAACTCATAAGTTGGGGCACTCGTAAGTCAGGGTACCACTGTATACTTTATGTAATGAACAGACTTGAGATGTAAGATAGCAGATTTTGAAATTTGACATTATTACTATGATTATATTATTATTTTCATGCAGAAGTGCTAAAGCAGTAAGGGTCATACAGCATCTAGGGAATGGAAGGTAGGTTTGATCAGTGCAAAATGATCAAACCTACCTCACATTACAGAGAGTTTGTTATTATTATTATTATAATCAAAAAGAAGCGCTAAGCCAACACAGAGAGTTTGTAATGTGAGGAAAGTGACAATCTGACATGAAGAATGAAAATGAAATAGTAAAATCAATTGTGACATGGTGTCACTCACTCATTAATGAAGGTATTATTATTATTATAATCAAAAAGAAGCGCTAAGCCACAAGGGCTATACAGCATTAATGAAGGTAAAACATGACACTCTATACACAATGTGATGCGAGTGTTTACACAGTGTTCTTGTACTATTACCTTTGTATTATATTCAGGAGGAAGGTAATTAGATTTGAGCCAAGGGAATTATTATATTTAAGAAAGGAGGAGGGTAGCATCAATTATACTAGAATTTAGAAGCCCTCACCAGCATCAATAGATCCCTTGAAGTTATACTGTACATTCACAAAAATATACTGTACGAGATCAGTTTTCAAACACTGGCATGGTGCATAAGTACTGTGTATTAAGTAGTACTGTTTATATAGTGGTACTGTATATTCATTACTACTCAGTTCACTAATATACTAATGAAGGGAGACTTTGGACAGTTTCATTTTTTTAAAAATAATGCACTTGCTTTATATTTATGTTCACAAAAAAATCACCAACCCCATCTTGTAGCTTTAGCTAAAGCCAACCTTCAGTCAGCTCTCGTGTAATAATTTTTTCTGGGTACTTGACTGATTGTAACTATGATGACCTATTCATAGTGGCTTACTGACCAAGATAAACAACATTTCAAGACATTCAAAATGCTTTAAAAATCACATTTTGCATCTTTAGACATTACAAAAACTCATTTCATTCATTTATAATTTAAATGTGGCATTCATACACATCTATTACACAGAGAAAAATCTGGTAATAGATATAGAAGTAGGTTAAGTATATGTCCTGTTAGTGAAAAGCCAAACAGTCAAGGCTTTTAAACTGTAATAACATTGTACAGTATTAGAACCTTTCCCCCTCCACCCTTAAATACTGACAAACTTAATACTTGGCTAATGTTTGGCATATAAAGGCATTATATAATAAGATTATTTACCCTTGTTAATATCATTTACTCTCTTTTGAAATTCTATTTTACTCAAGGCCATGAGAATGAATTCATAGATTATTTCTTTGTGGGAAAACAGTTAAGCACAAACATGTTTGATTGAACATATGGAGCAATGTTTATGTATTTATCAGTATGTAACAAGAGAAATAATTCCATGGCCAACATTTCTTTATCACTTATTTCCACAATATTGTTAATTTAAAGCTGTAAACCACATGGCTCATATAGCAAATGAACTCCTGGGCAGAAAAAGTTGCAGGAACATGGTAGTGCTGAGGATAATAGGGAACAAACAAAGTAGTATAACAATACAGGAATAAAAGCTCATGCAGTAGATTGACAATTAAATTTAAAATGGTATTTGTATAAAAGATGAAAGTGTTGCCAGTAGGGCTGACAAATGTTTCATTTCAGATTATTTGTCACTTGCTGCATCATGTAACTGTCACATCACACACCCCACAATAACACTGAATTTTCCTTTTGATGTGATATTTTGTTAAAATATATTTTTCTTCATTATTATTCACATACAAAACACTAAATCTATACGAGTAGAACAAAATCTCCCCCCCCTTGTACTACTGGTAACCATTCATTCAACTTGTTAATACATGACAGATTTGAGCAGTTACATATACATTCATTTTTCTACTTTCTGCTAACAATGATCAAACTCTACACCTAACTTGAATTTTACTGCTTTTTCAAGTGGACACATGTTCGTGTATTTCTTAATGTATTATATTCACAAAAAGTATAGGTTTGGAATAAACCTTGGTTTCTGCAGAAAGCTAAAATTTAATGTGCATTATTATGCAATTGTATTCCTCTGTACCTGAAAATTCTTGAAATACCAGGTATATTTTTTTTTCCTTGTCGATCAAATTTTGATTCCTGTGTTTGTAATTTTTGAATAGGGTTGGAATTTTTTTTTTTAAAACTTAATGGATCTCTTTTTGCGATTACATACTACACATAAAAACAAGCTTTTATGTAATACAGTGGTACAGGGGTTCGTCTTTCGTAAAAAACCCTTTTCCTGGACCCGTTACTATTAACGAAATTTACGATTTAGAAAAATTTTTCCCCTATAAGAAATAATGAAAATACAATTAAATCGTTCGGCACCCAGAAGTTTAAAAAAAAAAAATTTTTTTACAGAAATTAAACATGTATTTAAATAAAAATACAAGGGGGAAAGGATTAAGTTAGATTTCGTCGGTTTTTTAACCCGGAGGGTTAGCCACCGGGGATCCCCAAGAAAGCGTGCGTATCGGGGACTGCTAATTATTTCATTGGGGTCCTCAATTTGTCCCCGGATGGCCCACCCCGCGACTAAACCCGGTCCTATTTGCTGTAGGTAAACAGGAAACGGTGAAAGGGAAAAAGTGTCGAAATTTTTCCACCCCCCGGGAATCGAACCCGGGCCATCGGGTGTGAAGCGGGGTTTTTCCCACCGGTACCGGGCCACGAATGAAACATTAACGCATAACATTTTTCCCCTTTTTTGGGAAATTCTTCTTGTGTATGGGGAGATGGAGGGGAAGAGGTGGTTGTTATAGTTTGGAAGGGGAAAACCCTTTCCAGAACACTAGGTCCCAATTGCTTTTCTGGGGTTGCTTGTCTTCTCTGTTTTTAAATGCCACTAGGCCACTTGAGGTACGGGAGCCGTCTCGCAAAATAACTGTGGAGAGAGTCTGTTTCGGCGTCTTAACATTTCCCCAAAATGGCCCCGACTTTGTCACTGTACATGTTGCCAAAAACCGGCTTTTTCAAAACCCCTTTTTGGGGGGTTTCTCCTAAAGCTTTCCATCTTACCCCCCAAAAGTAAAAAACTCTTTAATTTTTGAGAAGGCACTTTCTTCCATCCTCTTCCTCCTCCCCTGCGCAAAATTTGAGCTCGATTTTTGTTGCCTTCCTGCTGAAGCTTTCAGCTCCTCAGTGGTGAGCTCTTCGTTTGGGTCTTCCACCTTCTTCCCCAAACTTCCAAAATCAATTTCCCAACCCCCTGGAATCCCCAGTGCCACAATTGATTTTACAACGACAAAGCTATCAGGGTCAGTCCCAAACCCCTTTAAAATCCCTTTGCGGAAAAATCTGGCCACAATTTTTTCCAGGGAGAGTTCAAAATCCTGGTGTCACTCCCTCCCAAGCCTTTCCATAAGGGTTTTGCAATGGAGGAGGGTAAAGGGTTTTCTCCAAAATTTTTTTAGGGTCAAGTGGTGTCTGGGTCACGTCAAAACACCCGTGAAACATTGCGTTTTGTGTAGGTTTTTTTAAAGTTTTCATGCCTTTGGGGTTTAGGGGTGGAGGAGAGGGTGGTTTCGGGGCAAGAACTTTACTGTGTGAACCCAAAAATCTGAAAATTAGGTCTCCAAGTTTGGAGGATGAGCGGTGCACTGTCCTTATTAAAAGGCTTCGAGATCCAATTTCTTTTTCAGGAGATATTCCCTTTACACTAGGGCCCAAAAAAATTTATTGAACCACTCAACGAAAATTTCCCTAGGACCTGCCTTACTTTAGATTTCCAAACACCCCAAATTTTCTTATAACATTGTTTTTCCTGAACACTGGGGTTTCAGAAAAGGTACACTAGTAATGGCTTCACTTTGAAAAACCCCATAGCATTAGACAGAAAAATTAGGTCAGCCTGTCTTTCATAGGTTTTGTCCTGGCATTGCCTTTTCTCTTGTGTAATGGGGTCCCTTTCATTTTTTTCCCAAAAGGGCCCTGTTTCATCACAATTGAACACTTGTTCAGGTTTCAGCCCTTCACCCTCTATGTACTCCTGAATTCTTTGCCATATTTTCAGCCGTCTTGTGGTCCGAACTGGCACCCTCACCATCCCTTTCCCACACTGTGTATGCCAGTACGGTTTTTAAAATCTCTAAAACCCAGCCTTTGCGGGGCCTTTAAAAATTCACCCCATCACCACTTTTTGCAGGCAATTTCTTTCCCCAATTTTCATGCAAGCTCCCTTTTTCACAAATAATCGAAGTAAAAGAGTATCTCCTGCAAATTGTTTTCATTTATCCACCCCAATAATAATTTCTCAACCTTTCGAGACTGGTGATCTAAATTTTGTCGCGTTACCCCTTGCAAAACCACCCTTTATTCCCCTTTTTTTTGGCCCCTATGGAACATAAGGTTTTTTGGGGTTTCTTATACTCCTGGACATTCGGCCCACTTTTACCACTTTATTTGTTCAAGGGATGGTTTTTTTAAATTAAATCGTTTTCCCTTCTTTCCCACAGGTTTGGCCTGGTGTTTCTTTGGAGCCATGGGAGCTTATTTGTAATTTAAGCACTAAAATAAAAGGAATTTTGAATATTTCGCCGTGAGGGGGGCCCTTTGCTCACTGGTAAACAATGCCAGGGCTGGTGCCGCCCGGCTCACGCCCTGGGGACGCTCTCGGACGAATACGCTCGCAGTCAACCCCATGAAAAGCGGCCTTTTTTATACGAAAAAAACCCCTATGATTGGCAAATTTACGATTGCGGGGGCTACGAAAGCGGGGGACCATGTACTTTTATATTTTTATCGTAATTCGTTCCAGGGGCGTTCGAAAGCGGTTGTTGAATATGAATAAATTTTTCCCCTGAGAAATAAATAAATGGTAATCTTCCAGACCTTAAAAAATTACCATTATAAAAAATTTAAAATGATTTATACTGTTATTTAAAAATGTATAATATTACATGCACAAATATAATGAAAACTATAAAAACAATAAAAAACATAAAATAATGAAAATTTAAAAATGCACTTTGCCCTTTATGAGGAGTGCTGGGCCCAAAGGAAAGGGGGGAGAGTTTGGAAGGGCGTCACCTTCCCTAAAAACACAGGTAGCTGCCATTGGTGTTTTTTTCTCTTTTTGTTGTGAGTAGCACTAGAAAATGATGGCAATTCCTACATTGATTTTTTCTTTGCTAATAAAGCTGTCCAATGTTGTCTGCTTTTGACAACTTTTCAAAATTTTTCTAAAGTGGTCAAAAACATGTCATTAAACAGGGTTTCTCTCCCGTTCAAAACAGTAATGTTGGATGCCCCCTTTTTTCCCGGGTCTGTTTTACCAATGATAACAGTTCCCCTTAAAATTTTCCGCAGTTTAAAAAGTTGCCATTACTACTTCCCTGCTCCTCTTCCTCTGAAGAAATTTCCTCAACCATTTCTTCTTGCTGCTCCTTGTGCAGGTCTTGAAGTTCTTCTGTGGTGAGCTCATTCTTGTGATCCTCCACCAACTCTTTTACATCCTCATTGTCCATTTCCAAACCCATGGACTGGCCCAGAGAAACGGTATCTTTCACTACAGGCTCTGCCTCAAAGCCTCTGGCCACAATTTCTTCCAGGCAGAGTTCATTGTCCTGAAAGAAACTTCTTCCCCAGGCTTTGTCTGCTATCCTTAAACACTGGAGGATATTAAAATGTTTTTTCCAAAATTCCCTAAGGGTAAGCTCTGTTTTAGAGATCACTTCAAATTACCTTTTAAAACAGTACTTTTGTGTAAAGTTTCTTAAAATTGGATATTATCTGCTGGTCTATGGGTTGCAGTGGTGTTAGGGGGCAAGAACTTCACTTTAATGAAGCTGTAGTCATCCATCAAATGTTCCTCCTAGCCTGGAGGGTGAGTAGGAGCATTGTCCATTACCATAAGTGCCCTTAACCCTTTGACTGTCGCAAGCCCCTTTCTGAACTTCTCATTCTGTTGCAAAATTTTTGGAAAAAAAAAAAAAAAAATTTCTTGTGAAATGATAGAGAATCTTTCCCGATGGTAATGACACTAAAAGTACGAAATTTGGTCAAAAACTCATGGAATTACGCTCCGGCGAAGTTAGCGGTCTCGGCGACATATACGCATCAGTGATTTCGCCGACTTTGAGCCCTGTTTTTGGCCAGTTCCGTTGTTCCAATTGGCCAAACTCATAGCTATTTCTTTAGGACTCCATTTTTTCTATCAACTGAGTACAAGTAACCGCCCATTTACGGATTTGAGCTACCCAATAAAGTGGTCAGAAATTGACAATTTGATCAATTTCACGCAAATTAAAAAAGATGCCAATTTCAAAATAGGGTCCAGAATAAACAATGTAGACATTCTTAGCACTAAAATAACATCCTCTGTTCATTAGTCACATCTCTAGGCTCCTCTTATATTACTATTGCTTTCTATTTTGATTTTTTATTCATACAAAAAATACAAAATTTACTGTTATGCAGACTACTGCATTGTAAAAATGGTATAAATAATATCAGTGCACTAGTGAAAGAATATTAGACTCCCCAGTTGACGTGTATTGGACGTGTGGTGTGATTTGCTTACTCTTGAACATTGGTAAAAATCAAACGGTTCTGCTACTTTGAGCTTAATTTCAAGGTCGTTTTCATCGTGAAACTAATCAAAATCATCTCTATTTCTGCAACATGTTTTCCATTTTATCATGCGAGACCATGAAAACGAGAATACAATGGTAAATACTATACGAAAATACACCTCAAAGTCGGAGTTTTAATAAAAAAGTTTTTTTTTTTAATTTCTCATTATGCACTGCGTGCTGCAGGATTTTTTTTATGTGGTACACACTGACCACACAGACCCATTCTCTCACATGTGGGCCTACCAGCTTTATCCTGCTTGATTTGAAGCTGCTAGAATAGAGTATATATACGTCCGAAACACTGGCTCGTAAGACGTATATATATGACCAAAACAGTCAAAGGGTTAATGGCATTTTTTTTTTTTTGCAAGGTACTGCTTCACATTTGGGGCAAACACTTGATGTATCCACTCAGTGAAGAATTGCCTTGTTACCCAAGGTTTACTATGAGCCCTCCACATTACATGAGTTTACTTTTGAATCACATTTTCTTAA